CACACACAAAACAAAAGCAAACAACAAGAACACAAAGCTGGCAAACACACCGGATTGACCAAAATCAACTCAAAATACTCCCACACAAAGGAACCTCCTCTCTTCATCGCTGGCTCCCTGTTTCTCAATAGAATGATCCATGGTTAGCCATCTCTCACCATCAAAACACTCGACAAATCCTCCGAATGATTCGCTTTCTTATGAACCACTGAATCAGGTGCCAAAGCATTATCGTTCCAAATGAAGCTTTGGACGCCACTGATCACATGACTCTGGCCAAACGAATGAAGCCTCGACACAGTGTTTCTGAAACAGTGTGCTGGTTTTTATGACACTCGCACTGGAGCGTCAGCTTCAAGCAGGCCATCACTAATTCAATCCATCATCCAAAAATGGAAAAGGTATGCCACATGCAATTTGGCAGGAGCCATGTAGGGGACACAGCAATCAGGTGGAAGATGTTCTGGTCAGACAAGACCAGAGTTGAGCTTTTGAGCCTAAATGCCAAGCGCTACATGTGGCGGGAAAGTAACACTGCTCATCACCCTGAACACACAATTCCCACTGTGAAACATGGTGTGGAAATATAAAGAATATGAATGTGTTAAAATGGCCCATTAAAAGTCCAGAAATCCCACTGAGCATCTGTGGCAAGACTCAAAAATTGCTATTCACAGACGCTGTGCATCCAATCTGGCTGAGCTTGAGCTATTTTGCAACGAAAAATAGGCAAAAACTTTGGTCTCTACATATGCAACGCTGGTAGAGACATACCCCAAAAGACTTGCAGCTGTAATTGCAGTGAAAATATTGACGCAGGGGGATCTGAGTGCAAATGCACGCCACACTTTTCAAATTTTTATTTGCTTAGAATTTTGAAAACCATGTATCGTTTTTGTACCACTTCACAATTTTGTGCTCTTTGTGTTGGTTTGTCACAGAAAACCTCAATAAAAAACAAAGTTTGTGGATGTAAGGTGACAACATGTGTCAAAGTTCAAGGGGTATGAATACTTTTTCAAGGCACTGTATATGCGCCATATGATGCGGATGAAGAGTAACACTTTGACTGAGGAAGCTCTAACACGTATGTTTTTATTGATTAATAACAAAGATGTATAGTAACCAGTCCAATGATAGCCATAGATATTCAAAGCAAAAATGATGAGGAAAGACGAGCACACATCAACAGTAACACTTTCTGTAAATCACACTCTAACATATAAAAAGAAAAGCTGCTGTAAAGCTGCACAACTGAACAACAATCCAAAGATTCATCATTCAAAGTCTTGTTTTATGTCTGTTTTCTCTTAAAACTCGCAAACACAAATACAACTGTAACAGCTGGGACTGTGCCAGACATTATAAAGCTAATTGAGGTGACTGTTGTTGTGAATTCACGCTACACAAATTAAGCTGAATTATAAAGAATTAAATTCATGATTGATTTAAACATGAGCAGATACACAAACACCGAAACTCTGACAGCAAAATGAGGTTCATTCAAAAGTAATGCA